CAGCACAGACCGCTCCCGGTGTTATTGTTCATGACTGACAGCCTCTCTTCCTCACTCAATTTCTCAGAAAACCATTCAGTAACTTGATTAACTCCTTTAAACAAAGTTGTTCATCTAGATGAGATATCCAACAATGCTTTAAGGATCACATTCTAATTCTTACCGGTTTGAGAGATTTTTAATTTAGAAGAGAGGTACTTGAAACTGTAAAACCGAATTCAGTTTTAGAATTTCAGAAACAGTTTGATTAACTAATTTTTTTTGGTAATTAACTACTGATTAAACATAGATCAAACACTTCAACCAATATCATAGTTTCAAAGTACAAATTTCATACCAATCAATGAAATAAAAGTTGTCCAACTTTTATCTGTGAAAATTGATTTAATAATTTCCCAAAAATTGAACTCTATATCTAATTTTCAGGGACTTAGGCAAAATGACTAAGTATGAGAGGTAGTTATTAAATTCAGTATTTGAGCTTAAATTTGAACATGATTGATTCAAAAACACAACATATCTTTGATTCTAATGTAAAGTATCAACTTAGCACTTCAAACTTTATTAAGAAAAGATTTTAATTGTTTAGGAGATTTTCACACCAAAAATTCACAAAGTTTCTTAATCACTATTATTGACATTATTTCATGTAACATATAAAACACTTCATAAACAACATTTACATGCTATAAATTAAACATGAAATGCATTAATGACTTGATGCTTGATAATTATGCATAATGATGATCATGATAAAAATTTTAATTACTTTTTAACATTTGGGATGTTACACTGCACTTGGGTTATACTGCTCGGCTACGGTTCATGCTGCTCGGCGACTGCTCACAACTGCTCGGTAACTCATCACGGTGGTTGGACCATGAGTTTGACTGCTCGACTTTGTTCACACCTGCTCGAACAAGCTCAAGACGGCGTTGCACAACGGGTACAAGGCGCTCGGAGACTAGTTGTGGGGGGTACGACCCCGGATACCCATGGCAGACCACATAGGTTGCGCCCCCAGGGGCAGCCCATCCCACAAGACGAAGCCTTGCGGGGCACGACTCTGCTCGGTGGCTCCCGCAAGACACCGAGAAGATATCCTGAAGATACTATGAGATCTGTTAGGATATGTATGATCCCAAGATTCCTGTAATCTGTTATTACTTTCCGGTTATCTCTCAGATCTAACCAACTTGTAACCCTGCCCCCGGACTATATAAGGCGGGCAGGGACCCCTCTAAATTCACGCAATATCATACAGTAGCTAATACAAACCAACAGACCATAGGAGTAGGGTATTACGTCATGCTAACGGCCTGAACCTATCTAACTCGTGTGTCTCTATTGCCTTCTTGTTCTTGATCACACGCTTCTCTGTCGATCAATCTACCTTCGTGGGATACCCATCGGAGGACTGTCGACGATATTCTGTCGACAAGATGCTTGACGGGAAGGCATGGTTCGGGTATGGCCCATCGAGCAGCTTCTCAAAGTGGTTCAGGGTACCCTCAGCGGGCGTCCGACCCCCCTTACGGTCGGTGGTGGCCAAGAGCGAGCCCTCACATCATTGCTTGTTCTTCTTCTTGCTGGAATGGTTGGAGGCACCTTCACTGGCGTCCTCATCCCGCTTTGCCTTGCCCTTGAGGCGGTCGAAGATCGCTTCGACCGCCTCCTCGCCCGAGGCATGGCTAGTGGCGATGTTGAGGAGCTCCTTGGTGGTTCGCGGGCCCTTACGTCCCAACTTATGGACCAGGGACTCGCAGATGGTCCTAGACAGGAAAGCTCCTATGACGTCGGCATCGACGACGTTGGGCAGCTCGTTGCACTACCAGGAGAAGCACCGGATGTACCCACGAAGGGGTTCTCCAGTCTTCTATCGGCAGTTTTTGAGATCCTATGGGTTCCCAGGACGCGCATATGTGCCCTGAAAGTTTCCCACAAAGATATCTTTTAGGTCCACCCAACTTTGGATTCTGTTGGGCGGAAGGTGTTCCAACCACGTTCATGCCGAATCGGCCAGGAACAATGGAACGCTGCGGATAATGAAATTGTCATTATCCGCTCCACCAGCTTGGCAAGCAAGTCGATAATCCTTGAGCCACAGTCCGGGGTTTATTTCTCTAGAGTATTTTGGGATGTTGGTCGGTGGTCGGTACCATGGTGGGAATATGGCGTTGAGGATGTGTCGGCCGAAGGCCTGAGGTCCCGGTAGGTCAGGGCTCGGGCTTCAATCCTCACCGCTATTGTAGTGTCTGCCATGATGAGGGTGGTAGCCGTGGCTAGCCCCTCCCTCGTATCACTGCAGGCACGCCTGCGGGCATCGAGGGTGTCGCGCTCGTCACGGAGGCTGCCGAGATGCTCATGCACCGAGACCACGGTGCGCGGCTTGGCGCCTTGCGGTGCCTAGTGGACTGATGCGTCCTTGTCAGGTCGTTATGAGGGCGTGCGCTAGCTGGCGTCGAGCTCGCGTCATTGGGATAGCGAGCTCTCGGCCTGCTGTGCCGCCGCACGCTCGAGTAGCGTGCGAATCTCACGATGGGCCCGACGATCCTCGGGCGTCGTGGGCCTTGGAAGCTCCTAGAGCAAGGCCGCCGTAGCAGCGATGTTCTGGCTCACCCGGGTGAAGTGTGGGAGGGCTTCATCATCCTCGATGATCCTCTGATTCACGTCGCGGGCCATGGCGCGCGCACGCCCACCGTCTCCATGGCGCTCGATCTCTCGCTCGAGCTCTGCGCATTCCTGGTCGAGCTGGAGTCATGCTTCCTCGAGCTCTTGGTGCTGGGCCTTGAGCTTCTCTACCCACAGACGAGGTGGGGCCCCTACATCCCTCTCAACCTCATCGTTGAAGTCATTCATCGAGGTAGCCTTTCCCACGTGGATGCTTTCGACGTGTCCCTCGGGGGTACCTGCCATGAAACATTTATGAGAGGGATGATGGCTCCCCCTACTGGAGTCAAAGCTGGAGGGCGACTCTGATTCTCCTACGAGGATGACATGGAAAGATTCCACGACATATTCGGTCATCCCCACGAACTCGTCGTTCACGGGAGATGGAGGAGTGCGTTGCGCCACAAGGTGGCCAACAGTCTCTATGGCATTGCGGAGACCGGACGGAAGCGCTGTCGGGGCGCTCTGGATGAGGTATTCCGGAGAGGGCGGCTCTCCTCCGACAAGATGTGCCATGACATTGGCGAACGAGAAGGTGAGGTGGCGCAGGTCCTCTCAGAACGGTCGGGGTCCCAGGAAGGCGCCGAGCTAGCGTTCAAACCTCCCATAGTCGAAGCCGAGGAGCTGGTCGCTCTCGGGGGCGCGGGCCTCTGGTGCGTGCAGCTACAGCTCCACAAGCTCCTCAGTGATCGTGTTGAGGCTGGCGGAGTTGAGAGGTTGGACGGCGGCGGGAGCCTACGCCAACTCTCCCTCGGTTGTGACAATGAAGTCCAAGTCCTCGAAGCGCACGTGCGCGCCCAGGACCCAGCTGACGCCGTGACTGGCCATCCGAGACCTGAAGTGGACATCAAGACGCGCAAAAGACCCCTACCTGGCGCGCCAACTATCAGTGTTTCGAGTTACCACCGATGAGTAAATTTCTAGTATTGCGCATCTGACTCAGATGGTGTGCTTAGAGGACAGAGATTTATACTGGTTCAGACAGAAAGTCCCTACGTCCAGTTCGTCGCTGCTGCTCGTGTTACTAGCACTGAAAGTTTATAGTAGGAGGGTTACAAACAGGCGAGAGATAGACAAGTCCCAAGTTTCTAGTGAAAGGAGTGAAATGGTGCTGAGACCTCGGTTGCTGTTCTTGTGTATATCTAGATCTGATCGGTTTGGGGTCGGATCGGATTCCCTTCATGGGACGCCCTGCTTTCTCTTTTATAGGTCTAGGGAAAGAACGGGTTACAGCGGAGGAAAAGAAAAGAATGAGAGAGAAAAGGAGTCATTCAGGATTGCCGGATCCTTTTTATCCTTCATGCGGGTCCCGCCGACCCTGTAGATGTCAATAGGGACAGCTCCACGTCGTGGCCCTATCCGTCACTGGCGCCATGCGCAGGCGTTGTCTGCCGGTCATGGCGTTCCATTCCGTCGCAGCGGACGTCGTGGTGAGCTGACGCGCCTGTCAGAGTCCGTACGGGGGTTAGGCAGAACAACACTGATACGCCGATGCTGTTCCTGATGTGAATCCTTACGTATGGCCCGTCGTGGCCACGGGTTACATCAGGACGTGCCGGTTTCATCCTTGGCGTCAGAGTTTTGACCTAGACCCATACGCTTGGACCTGGAGTGGTTGACGGCGGTATGGGTCTTCATCGGGCGAGACGGAGCCCGTGGCCTCGGGGTCAGGCGGGGCGGAGCACGGACCCAAGGGTTAGGCGAGGCGGAGCCCGCGGCCTCGGGGTCGGGCGAGGCGGAGCTTGCGCGGCTAAGAGTCGGTTGGAGCTGTAGTCGCGCTCTTTACTGCTCGGATAAATCAATATCGATGGTCTTTAGCTCTTTCTCTTTGGATACTCTAGTATTGATCTCCGACACTGAGCAAGGCGTAACAGTTCTCGGCCGAAGGAGCAAGCAGACCCTAAAACCTGCCCTCGCCAACCTGTGTCTCTCCCTTACTTGCTACTCTTCCTGATCTCCCCCGATTCTCCTTCCTATCTTGATCGATGCTAACAGTAGAACTGGCCCTGGGCCTCATACGGCCATCACGTCACACAGCCGGGTGACTGGCTGGACGCCGTTGGATCGCCACAGCGGTGCAGTGCAGGTGCAGTCGCTCCCTGGTCCCTGCTTCATAGTCAGAACTCAGAACAGGAGAGAGCCAGCGGGTCTGAGTCCGACCCGGTGGATTTGGTCGAGCCAGACCAGTTCACTCACGCCGCTGGCCGCTCAGGTCCTCGACGCCCCGCACCTCTGGACCGGACGGGTCCATACCAAAGAGCCTTCCTTTTGTTTCGTGGCAGCTGCACGAGTTTGGCGCCGGCTCCTCCGATCCAGCCTGGCCGCCGGCGATGGGCTGCTCGCCGGAGGGGGCCGCTGCGGCGTGCCCGGACTGCCTGGGGCGCCTTGTCCTACGCGACCTCGCCGGATCCGGCCTCTCCTTCGTCCACGGCCTCTCCGACTCACCGCTCCCCTTCGCCGCCTCCGCCGTCGTTCAGGTCCGCGTCGGTTCCCACCTCTTGATCCATGGGTGCTCTGGTCGGCATGCGCTCTCAAAATCGTTCCTATTCCCGTCCGTTCAAGCGCGGTTGGAAGCAGAATTTATTGGGCTTCCATTCCTCTGCATAAACCCTTGCTTCCTTTACAAGAGCTATTGGTTATACCTTTGTCTTAATCCTCGTTTCCTCTTCGCTGCAGATAGCGTCTGATGGAGACGAGGAAAGTAATGGGAGGTATGGCTTTACTTAGTGAGACTTGCCTGGATACTATTGCAATAGGGTAGATGTCGCTATGACAAAATTATTCCTCTCAAATGTATCCATGTATGATGTTAAATTGTTATAATGTCACAACGTACTCCTTCTTCTGAGTCAGGCAAGTAGCCGAAATGTGCTTCAGTGCAACTTCAGCTACAGTGAGCTCTATGCTTTAAACCATATATAATTGTAAACCTCCAACTGAACTGTAGCTGGTCAATTTACAAGTTATCCTGTTAATGCTGCTTCAAACTCTTGTTTAGTTGGACCTTGGAATACAATTACAGCCATGTAGGGTCATCCCAGTTTGACAGCCACCAAATGTACGACAGAAATTCTGATTCATAGAAAACAGCCAAATTAGTCAGATGAACATAATTTCTTAGTTTTTCATATAACAATTACTCACCTGTAAAAGAAAACCATAGTGAAAAATGGTAAACCATTTGCACCTCCATGCACTTTGTATTTATCACAGTCGGTTGCAGTCAGTAGTTCTTTTGAATCTACCTGTTTTCCAATTTAATGTGGCTTCCTTTTCCTTCATCTTTGCACTAAATCTTACGCAGAAGTGGTGTTGTATATGTTGCAGGCAGCATATCTCCAGTTTTGTTTTAGTGGGCCTATGTGGTGGCAAAGTACCTTTTAATAGCCAACAATGGTAACTCTCTTACCTGAGGATTATATTATCTTCAAAGGCTCCAAAATTGATGTATCAACATGTACGGATTTCTTCACATTTTTGTTCCCTACAGTGACACCAGTTCCTTGGAGAATGGCATTCATAAAGATCCCCAGGCAGAGCAAACTATATATACTGGTGATAACCAATATACTGAGCAGTCAGATTCCTCATCTTGTATAGAATGCATTGAAGATCGCAAAAGTTCCTCTGGCCCCTGTAAGCAACCACTGGCCATAAGAACGATTACCAAATTAACTCCTGCTTGCTATCTTAACATAGGCCAGACTTCAGAGGTTAGAGAGCTTATTAAAGGTTATCTGACCTCATCAACTGAAGAGTATGTGATTAATTCACTAAATCTGTTATCTGAAAACAAAATTAGTGGATCTGCTGGTTTAGATTTCCTCAGTTTTGTTGGATTTTCTGCATTCGATGACTTGCATTCTTCTGGCTGTGTGAGGCATCCCAACATCTTACCAGTGTTAGGTGTTCTAGAAACATCTGATTGTTGCTACATGTTACAACCAAAGGCCCCATACACTTTGGAAAACATTATGCACTACAGTCCAGAGGCCTTCTGCTCAGATTGGCATATTAGATTTCTTGTCTACCAGATAATATCTGCTTTGGCATACCTTCATGATTTAGGAGTTCATCATGGCAATCTAAGGCCATTAAAGATCTTAATGTCAGATTCCTTATGGCCTTACCTGAGCATAAGTGATACCTGCCCTGTAAAACACAGTTGGGGTTTTGCTGATCGTAAATGTTCATCTAATTCATGTTGTTTTATGGAGGACTGTTCCTCAAAAGCCATTTATACTGGTTTCAAACTGCAATCATCGTTAGATTGGCATTCTCACTTTAAGCAATGGTGGAAAGGTGAACTGACCAATTATGAATACCTTCTTGTCTTAAACAAGTTAGCTGGTAGAAGATGGGGCGATCCAGCTTTTCACACTGTGATGCCTTGGGTAATAGATTTCACAGTGATGCCTGATGAAAGTTCTGATAATGGTTGGAGAGACCTGACCAAAAGTAAATGGCGGTTGGCAAAAGGTGATGAACAGTTGGATTTTACGTATTCATCATCTGAAGTTCCACATCATGTCTCTGACGAGTGTCTCTCAGAGCTAGCTGTCTGCAGTTACAAAGCAAGGAGGTTACCTAAGACCATCTTGAGGTCAGCCGTGCGTTCCGTCTATGAGCCCAATGAATACCCGTCTAGTATGCAAAGGCTTTATCAATGGACTCCTGATGAATGCATTCCTGAATTTTATAGTGATCCTCGGATTTTCGCCTCTCTTCATTCTGAAATGAGTGATTTGGCATTACCTTCCTGGGTAACATCTGCAGAAGATTTCATTTGTCTTCACAGGGATGCATTAGAGAGTGATCGAGTCTCGCAACAACTGCATCACTGGATTGACATAACATTTGGCTATAAACTTTCTGGAGAGGCATCTGTTGAAGCAAAAAATGTCATGTTGCCCTCTAGTGATCCATCTAGGCCAAAATCAATTGGCCGACATCAGCTTTTTACAAGGCCTCATCCTAAGCGCCTTGTTAGCACCCCTCATGCAGTCTACCACAACAAAATGGACTCTTGTGTTAGATGCTGTGGCAAACGAAGCGGTGCAACAACTGATGCAGTGTTAAATGGCTGTGGATCTCAAAATATGCTTTCAGAAATTGGCTGTTTGGAGGAATTTGAGAAAGCAACTTTGTTTGCAGAGCTTGAATACCAGTTGAATCCAGTCTATGATTATGCTGATGCTGATGCTGATGCCGATCTTTCAATTTGTTTCTCTTCAGACAAGTATCCCAAAAACCAAAATGCAGATAAGATATTGCAGCATAACAATGCATTGCCAGCAGCACCTAACTTTGATCTTGGTTCCTTTCTAGAATGCTTTGAGTCTGATGATAATTCCCATATGGGTTATGAAGAACTGCTGCTATGGAATCAAAAGTCTAATTCAGAAAACGAACGCCATGCAAATGATGTATTTTCTATTGGGTGCATTCTGGCAGAAATCTATATGCAAAAACCACTTTTTGACAATGCCTTGCTATCTGCATACAAAGAAATTGGGGTAATGCCCGGAGCACTTCAAGGCTTGCCTTCTCATGTCGCACTTCTTGTTGAGTCATGCATACAGAGGGAATGGAAAAGGTAACTTCAGCAATGAAGTCTGATGTTTATAGTTCATATCCCACCACTTTGATGATGTTTTGATGGAATTCAAAGACAACTGTTTTTTATACTAATTTGGTGATCTCTTGCAGGAGGCCATCAGCAAAGCACCTTTTGGAGTCATCATACTTTCCTCCATCAGTTCGATCTGCATATTTGTTTCTTGCTCCACTTCAAGTTTTGTGTACATCTAGAGAGCGAATCAAGTATGCTGCTAAGCTTGCAAGTGAAGGGGCACTCAAAGCTATGGGAGAATTTGCTGCTGAAATGTGCGCACCTTACTGCCTGTCTCTTGTTTCATCATCTTTGTCAGATGTTGATACCGAATCAGCCTTGTCTCTGCTTAAAGAATTCCTAAGGAGCTTGACTATCCAAGCAACTAAAGACCTTGTTCTGCACATCATTCAGAAGATCTTACAGGCCAGTTAAGATATACCAGTAGGAAAGATATTCACATGTGTTTTTTTTTTATTTTATTTTGTCAAAGTTTTGGATTATGAAACATAATAGTGTTTCTTCTTTCTGATGAGTTTTGTCTGATGGTGGTTGCTACAGGCACCAGAATATTCACATCTGAAGGTTGCCCTCCTTCAAGATTCTTTTATTCGGGATTTGTGGAAGAAATTGGGAAAACAAACTTATATTGAAAAGATACATCCTTTGGTGATCTCAAACTTATGCAGTTCACCTAACAAGATCATCGCCTCTGCTGCATCCACTGTTCTGATCGTCTCAAGTGAGGAACTAGGAATACCAATTACCATTCATCAGGCAAGTCTAAGTAGAAAGTTTTATTGGTATACCATCATAATACTATGCATCACTGATGGATGTCTCCACTTTCTCCAGACGATTTTACCACTAATTCACTGTTTTGGCAAAGGATTATGTGCTGATGGAATCGATACTTTGGTTAGGATTGGTAACCACCTAATGCTTTCTCGTTATGTTGAAATTATTTGCGAAGTGATCACTTCTTAACCTTGTAATTATAGGTGGACTTCTTGGAGAAAATTTTGTTGTAAAGCAAATTCTTCCGTTGCTTTGGAATGTCATATTCTCTTGTATCAATTCGTCTAAGATGAGTAAGCCTGAGCCACAGCATAGTTGGAATTCTTTTGCGCTGATTGATAGCTTATCTGCCTTGGAAGGTCTTGTGTCGGTTCTTCCTGTCAAAACTGTTATTAAGGAGCTTCTTCAGGTACTTTACTGGCAAAAACACAGCTAAGCGAACAAACATTAGAAGGAGTGGAAATAGATAGCTTATTGGATTGAAGCTGAACGAAACTGGAAACCATATTCTTTAAACTAAGTTGAAATCAATTTCAGGTGGCACTGACTTTAAGCGTAAATTTAAAGACTACCAGATTCCAACAAGATTTTACTTACCTTTTTGATCAATTGATAGTATTTCTTCTTTTGTTTGTTATAGAAATAAATACAGAATTATGTCACAGTTCAAATCAATTCATTACAGAATTCCAATAATTTTTGAACAAAATATCATATCATCAATGTATATCTGATCTTGGTCGTGCAGATGCATCATTTTAGTAGTGTTTGGTAATATCATCTGTGATGTTATCAAATTCCTGCATTGATTTAAATGCTTAAGTGTTCCTTGACTTGTGAATTTTGATGTTGACCTTAAAAACTTAATGTCAAAATTTGTATATTAGTCAATTGAAATGCTTAAGTGCCAATGTTCCTCTTCTAAATAATGCATGCATTATTTTTAATTGTATCCATTTTCACCCTTAATTGCATATATAGTATTTATGTATTCATTACCCCATTGTATTTCTACTGCATCTGCAGGACCAAGCCTGTCTTTATATAAAAGTTCTTATGCAGATTCCTTTGGATCTTCGTGTGATTCAAGTAATTGAAATTACCTTTTTTTAGTCTTTTCTATTATTTGTACTTGTACAACTGAAGCTTTTTCACTATCAAAACTGCTTTGTTGATTAGGTGGCTGCTACAGCACTCATTGACCTTTGTCAACGAATTGGACCAGAAAACACTTTTATATATGTTTTGCCACAACTAAAGGAGCTTTTTGCTACACTAGCCTTTTCTCACGATTCATCTGGTCTTAACCATCCTACAAAAGGAATTAAAAGTTCTGATGGAAACAAAAGTGAGCCAATTAAAGTGGAATCCAGAATTGATCTTTTGTAAGTCAAAAAAGCTTTTCTGTGTTTTGTTATAAATGGTTTTATATACATATATTTTTAATAAAGTAAATAATTGTAGGTTGTTGCTATATCCTTTCTTGGCATCACTTGTTGGGATAGAGAAGCTCCGAGAGTCTTGCTCAACATGGTTTCTTTTGGAGCAAGCACTTCAAAGGTTGTACAATTGGAAGGTACATAACTCTGCAATCTGCATTTTTTTTTCTTTATGCTATCAATTGTTAAGATAGTATTCTTATCATGCTCTTTTACCTTCTTATTTTCATCTGTGCTTTTGTTTAGTGGGAGCCGTCTGGTGATTGTTCTAAGAATGCTAAAAATATGAAAGGTCAAAGGTTTCAGCCTGGCAACTATATGTCATCAGAGTTTGTTCCAACCAAACTGCTTTTCAATGGGGTAGGTTGGTCCATGCCACAATCAGAAACCACTAAAAAAATTGGTCGGAACACTGCAGCTTCTAACCTTGAGAATGAGACATCTAGTGACAACTTGTTTACTTCAAGTTCTGGTAATCAACCATGGTTTTGGTTCCCCACCCCTGATAGTAGTTGGGGTGTTCCAGAATTTCTTGGTCGTGGCGGTGGTATGAGGGATGAACTACCTTGGAAGATTAAAGCTTCTATCCTTTACTCAGCCCGTGCTCACCCTGGTGCTCTGCGTTCATTAGCAGTCCATGATGATGAGTGCACAGTTTTTACAGGAGGAGTTGGTCCTGGTTTTAAAGGAAGTATCCAGAGGTGGGAATTGCCAAACATGAGCTGCACATCAGGTTATTATGGGCATGAAGAGGTCAGTTGTTTTACTGTGAGTTTTAATAAGATTATTTTCTTTCTGCTTTTATGATGGATGATTTTGTTTTGTATCTATAGAAAAACTTTGATTTTTTACTTAGTGAAGTAGCAGTTGGAAATTTGTTTAAAACATGATATGTTCCAAAGACCAAATTGTTTGTGGGTTCCACCATTAAATCCAGGTGGTCTAAGGGGTAACTTGAGCCCTCCAGAACTTTTTACTGCCCGCTGTGATGATGGACCCAGGCTTCTTCCGTTTCAGTTCTTCCTGGTTGAACCAGCATATAGTTAAAATAACTAGGACAACAAGCAGTATTTATAAACCTTTTGGAACTAGAAACTGAAACCTAAGAGGTTATGGTTATGGCTTTTGCTCAGTAACTGGTCACCTCTTCTGATTAATCAAGAAATAGCAAGGTTCCTTGTATCGCCTCTACCCCTGATCTGATGGTATGGCCGCCAGGCATCGGCAGTCACGCTGCTTGGGTTTAGGGCAATCTGAAGTATGCCCATGACAAACTTTAGTACTAGGAGGTTTGGTGAGGATAGGAAATGGTAGGCTTTAGGGTGTCAAAGACTATCATTGTCTAATTTAATACTTCTGTCTGATTTAACATGATCTGATTTTACATTCGTAACCGCCAAATTGAAATAACAAACATAAAAGATGAAGTTAAAGAGTTCCCAATCTACATGGATTGAATTGTTTCCACTTGTTTGTAACCATTACACCCAGGTGATGGAGAATTTATAGATTAGGAAAAGAGGCCATCAAACATGCTCAAATATATTCAATAAAATTTCTAATTCTAATATATTACACTTTACTTCATTTAAGAGAAAGTCAAACAGTACAAAATGTGTGGTTAATATTCTGTGGTAGTGATTTTGACTTGTGCTGCTTGATCTCTCTTTCGTGTGTTTTATGTTTGAAATAATCGTCCACTCTTTGTAATTTTGTAATGAAATATTTTAAGTGCAACCAGTTTGCTCTCCATTTTTTTAATAAACTCATTTATCTAGGTTGTCAATTCCATCTGTATCCTGTCAATTACTGGCAGAGTGGCTTCTTGTGATGGCACTATCCATATATGGAATGGGCAGACTGGAAAGCTCATTGCAGCTAATGCTGAGTCATCTACAACTTTTCCACTCCAAACCCCATCTATTGAGCAGGCAAACATGCTTAATCAGGATGCACTCTCAGGTGGAATATTGTCAAATGCATTTCGTGGTAGTTTATATACGACTATGCATTATATGGAATCTGAGGGTATACTTGTTGCTGGTATGGGAAATGGTTCAATCAGGTATTAATCTTGTGTCATCAGTTTTTTTATTTGTTTGATTATGTCCTATGAATATATGTTGAGGAAAATATCTTTCCTACCCTTTGACTGGGGAAGGCTTTTATGGCCAGCACCCAGCAGGACCTGACAGGATGCACAACAACAACAACAACAAAGCCAAGTCCCAAACAAGTTGGGGTAGGCTAGAGTTGAAACCCAGCAGAAGCGTTTAGGCACATGAATAGCTGTTTTCTTTCGGGTTTCATCTCCATTAGAATGGCTAGATTTAACGTTGTCTCGCCACGCCTATCACAACCCTCCTCCTTTACCAGGGCTTGGGACCTGTTATGTTGAGACAACCTGACAGGATGCAATGCCCATAAATACACCGGCAAAGACATAACAAAAAAAAGGGGCAGACCCAGTGCCGGAGGCTCCCACATGAGTGGGGTCTGGGGAAGGGATAAACCGAGAAGCCTTTCCCCCGCAAAATCTGCGGAGAGGCTGTTTCGAACCCACGACCTGGTGACTCAGTGAGACAGCTCTCACCACTGCACTAGGCCTGCCCTTCGGCAAAGACATAACAAAATGGGGAGAAAATTTATTTGAACTGGTTAGGTAGTGATATGCAATACTTCCTCCATTCCAAATAATTAAGACACTTTGGCTTTATCCTAAGTCAAACTTCTCTAAGTTTGACCATGTTTATAGAAATATATACTGACATCTACTCTACCAAATAAGTGCAGTCTAAAGACATATTGCACGGTGGATTGAAAGAAACTAATTTGGTACATTTTTTGACATTTGATGCAGCCATTTTCTTCCCTTTCTTCATGTTTTTAAGGGGATCAGCACCTATGGTGCCTTCATCTAGGAGCTTTTGTATGATGTTCTTGACCACAAAGCAATTCTTGAGCATATGACCCAAGATGCGATGGAAGTGGCAAAAAATTGGCTCATTGAATTTGGAAGTTTCTTCCGGCCTTTTTGGTTTAGGGAGCTCAATATGATTTAACTCCCGTAGGCCTGTAAAGAGGCCCTCCACTTCTTTGGGGAAGGAGTATTTCTGGTTTTGGCGCTCACTTTTTGTTAGAAAACGCAGGAGAGCCGCGCTAAGAGAAAAAAATGGTCCCCATACAGACTCATCTCATACGGGGACCAAATATGAGAGGTGCTATAGCAATTTGGGACCAGGCTCCCTAGGACCTAGGAACAAACTCAAGATGCCTTGAGCGTGGAGAAGTCTTATTCTCCCCTACTTAATTGAAAGGCAGAGCTCCTGCCATTGCGTTAAAAAAAACTCTGCAATGAGCAAATGAGAAGGCTGTGGATTTTATCTACAGGTGGAGAAGTCTAAGCCTCCACTGTCCACCACTAATCACAGAACCAGAACTCCAGGAGCGGTTTGTATGTGCATGAACAACTTGAGCTCGGACATGGCCATCTACCTCCAAGGATAGACTTGGTCAAAGTTAGAGAAGTTTAACTTAGGATAAAACCAAAGTGACTTATAATTTGGAACGCAGGGAGCAGGAGTTTGCGAGCATTGTAGTGTTTTTCTAGAAGGATAGTGATATGAAGCTGAGAGCATAATTCCTTTCTCTCCAAATCTCGTTATTTTACTGTATTTGTTCTTGATAAGTAGCCTGAATTAGTTCGTTGCACATTGTAGTGTATTTGTTTTTCTATTAATTATTTCCTTGCACATTGGTTGAGTTCTTGCAGATTTATTGACATATCTCGGGATCAGAAGCTACATTTATGGAAGAGCGATACGGCTGAAATATCTTTCTCATCACTTGTGTCAGCTATTTGCTCGTGTGGCTCAAACAAGCTTATGAAAGGAAGCCCAATGGGTTCATCCTGGATAGCAGCAGGTTTAAGTTCTGGATATTGTCGATTGCTTGATAAGCGTAGTGGGAACATCATTGCAGTTTGGCGAGCACATGATGGACACATTACAAAGGTATGCTAATGCACTCCTAGCCCTCTACCGCAGAATGGTAAAAGAAAGCTTTGATTACTTTGACATTTTCTGATCTGATTTTTTGTTTTCTATTCGCATTTATGCTTATAGCTGGCAGCGCCAGATGATCACTTAATTGTATCAAGTTCCCTTGACAAGACTCTTCGAGTGTGGGACCTCAGAAGGTATTATTTTGTTGATGCAAATAACTCTGTCAATTGACCTATTGGGATGTAGCTTTTTTATATTGTTAATGTATACGGGGATTGACATAGATAAAAATGCTGGGGCTATTGTCTTCTACTATTTTCTTTTTTGGAATTGTTTTAGATGAACACCTTCCCAGGTTGTACTGTAGCAACATTAGTTAGTAATCTGATGGATTCCTGAACTTAAATGGCACACAACACACATCGACACAATGCTCTTCAAGATTGGATGATATGGATTCCTTGTATGCCTTCTGGCTTTTGCATGTTCATATTTTTTTTTTTTTGTGGGAAAATGTGATAGGAATCTGGCAACACAGTCAAACATTTTCAGAAGTCATTCAGACGGCATTTCCAACTTCTCTGTGTGGGGTCAGGACGTGGTATCAATTTCAAGGAACAAAATTGCACTAACTTCCCTATCGAGACCAGCAAGTGAAGTAAGACTTTCCTTTTCGTAACAGGCAACATTGTTCAATCTTGAAAGAATTTACTGCTTCCAAGTTCCAGCAGTAGTGTAACTTCCATTTAGCAATTTTTATAAACTATATGAGATGGAAATCTAATTGGCTCTCATGAAAGTGATTTCCATTTATTTTTAAGCAGATTGGACATCAGCAGCTTGCACTTCAGAACTTGTATTCGGTTGACAGAGGGGTGAAACACAAAAACCTATCTGTCCTTTCAACTATTGCTGTGCTTCCTTTGTCAAGGTTGTTTGTGGTTGGAACTGAAGATGGATTCCTCAAAATGTGCCACTAGATGCTTCACCAGTACTGGAGTACTGGTGACCATCTCTCATTGTGAAGTTTTGGTAGTTTCTCTCTTTCCATCTGTTGAGTTGAATTTTGTGGTGGAGCCTGGTTATAGTTGGTGTTTCATTTTGCTGTGTGTGTGTGGGTGGGTGGGTTGGGGGTGGTGGGGGGTGGGGGGTGTAGGGCATATCACACTGTACAGGAAATACATTGTGTGCACTTCGTTTGTATGAAAGCTTCAAATTTTGCTTGATCTCTCTCTCTTGAAACAGCACATCCTTTACGTATCTGCTTGACGCTTCATTTCTTTGTTTTTGATGAAAGTCCGATAAAAGCTGAAGTAATAAATAGACTGATAAAAATGGAGTATATGTTGGAGAACTTGTATCGATATTTTACTGTAGCGTACTATATAGCCTGACTTGTTGTCAAGCACATCGCTACGCCTGTCGATTGGGCATTGGCCTGCTCTGCCAACCAAGCTGAGGGGCGCCTTGAATTCTAGCTTTACTCTGCCTGATTCGCTGCAGACCTGGGACGGATAGGATTCTGGTGGGTTATTGGGTAGGCACAGTTAAAGGTAAAGAGGCTTTACTGCACTCTGAAACCTCATTCCCTCGGCATGCGTTTGCACTGCATCCCCTTGATATTAGCCAGTTTCGGAGCCACCCAGGCCAGTGCTTGGGCAGCATCAGAGCGCTGCGCTACCACTGATTTTGTCGTTTTAAGCTGGGGTCAAGCCTTGGCTTTATGTTTAAGGGCCTGTTTGAAACGGGGGAATGCAAAATAAAGGAATAGTGAAAACGCTGGAATAGAACCGAAAGAAGAGTAGAAAACTATAGGAGGATTTCTAAACACGGGAATAGAAACTTTGAAAATCCTCCGTTCCAAACAGGCCTTAAGCAAAGGTTAAGACATAACTGTACTGTCTAGGTAAGATGACATCCATGGTCCATGCACCCCTGTCCTTTGTAGCCAGTTCAATTACTGCCACGGACATGTGGGCCCTGCTGCAAAAGAACCATGTGGCGGGTCCATTTTTCAGCGAGGCTACGCAGCCGAACATGCCCCGCCCATTAAGCCATGGCCCATGAGCTGCTGCTCCTCCATCAAGGCTTGGACAGTGCGCCAGTAGCTCTGCTCAGCGTCTCAAACTATCATCCGTGCAACTAAAGACGAGCAATTGCCCATATAAATGTGGGTGCCGAGCAACGAGCTCTTGGTGACCCAATCCGATGGGTTTATAAGACGTATTTTTTCAGCCAATAAATAGTATTTTTTTTCTACCAACAAATCAGCCAACAGTCCTTTCAGTCAGCAGCAAGCAGTAGAGCGACCAGCAGCCATGGAGAAGAGTGTTGTTGCTAGTGGCATAAGCGAGTCTGGCTTGTTCTTGCGGCGGCTGGCTGTCGACTTCACTCTCCTACGTGTTGTGTCCTGGTTAATGGTTATCAGTGCTTTGTGTCATGTAGTATTTGTGTGCGAAGGACTTCTTTTCTTTCTTATCATGTGGTGTCTGCTAGTATACATCTCGATCTGGTGTGGTTCTCGATCTCACTTTTCTTTTCGCCGTGTGTTATTCTGTTGTTTTGTATTGTATCCACCTATGGTCGATGTTGGCATGGATGCTGATTAGTACGTGTTCTTAAGTGATTCACTATGATCAACACGGTACATCTTTCTTGCGGTTACACGAAGGTACGCCAAATGTGTGTTGACGTTGGGGATGACCCAAATCACACATCAGCAGGGCTAGCACGTCCAAGGGGTTGCAAATCAACCCACAACCAGCAAGAATGCGAGCATGATCGATGAAACCGATCTAGAGACCGGTTAGGCCGATGTTGAGCCTGTTTTTGGCTTGATAGACTCCCTGAACTTCTCCCGAGAAGACCCGTCGGACAAGAGCACATGGAGGGGGTCATAGGACCAGCAAGGCCGTCTAGAATGCCACCGGGAGACACGACAAACAGCAAGGGGTTGGAAAAGAGGGTTAAAGGGTGTTTGTAGATTGATTTTGACGATTGGATGAAACTTAATCGGTTGTGATCCTCTCATATATAGAGATGGGTCTTATCCCAGTAGGAAATAAATCCAAATTGTAATCTCCAAGTTTTCCACATAAAAACATGCCAAAACCAACTTTTAAGTGTAACTGAGTCAGTTTCTAGGCGGGAGGAGTCTGCTAAGCCGATTTCCTCAGGCTCAGGCAGCTACTGTGGGCGGCATCAGGGACCAGTCGCCTAGTCAGCTAAGCCGACTGGAAGGCAGGAGTCGACCTGGCCGGCTGGACTAGAGCTGGCTCGCCTGGCTCGTTGTCTTCTCCACATGATTTTTTCGATGTTTTGTTGCGCTATTTGGCCACCAACACATATGTATTGGAGATGCCTATAATCCATTTTCGGACATTTTTTAGTGTCAACAGGTACAAATTCGCATCGTGCCACTACAGCAAAAGTGTTTTTCTTTACAATCACATTCACATTCCCCATCAGTGCTCTGGTGTTCTTTTCCACCCCACAAGACGAAAGGGTGGAGATGGGGCTCAATGTGGGCTTGAGGAGGTTAGAATAGCGACGCAGTGACGAGGTGGAACAATGTCGTGCTGAGCCGCTACACCGGTGTAGTTGATTGGGGCTGCGTCCTTGGCTCTGCGGCAGGGCCTCTTAGTGTTCTTCCTTGGCTAGCTAGGACTGTGGGTGAAGAGAGGTGGCGCCACTGGTGGCGACAGTGGTGTTGGATCGGAGAGGAGGGCTCAAAATGGCTAAATATCCACGCCGGCCATGTCCACGGCGGCGGATGACAAGAGACGGATTGGTGGTACATGTAGGACTATTAGCACTCGGGGCTAGGTTTTTTGGGAATCTAGGTGGTTGAGGTGAGGCGAGGCTAGGCATGCAGCACCCGATCAAAAAGCAGCGAGGTTGACAGGCGGCGGTGACAAAGGTGGTAGGGGTCATACCCCGGACGTGTCCTTGTTGCCTACTCATGTGGGAGTGGCCGCGCCACGGATTGGCGACATGGCGTGCATCTGGGGAAGGCATGGAGGAGGGGGCATGGCACAAACGACGAGGATGCGCACGGGGCGTTGAGTGCGGCCGGAGGTGGCCGTGCTCTACTTTGATCCAAAACGAGAAAAAAGGGTAAGAGAGGGAGGGGATGACAGGTGAGGTCGGTCGAACCACCAGGAGGTCGGGTGACCTCTTGGATCCACCGTCCTTCAATTCAACACTTCATAGATCTCCTCGGTGGTGGTTGACAAGTATCCAAGGTGATACCATCGACTTTAGCTATCTTAGTATGCAATGATGGGCCTCTAATCTAGGTGAAGCTCCACCTCAACCACATGATCAAACCGACTTGCAACCAACTTGTTCGATCATTCCAAAGTTTGTTTTTGGCTTGCGGTGTGGATTCATGACATAGAGGGGCTTTGGCTAGGGCAGCTGAACCCTGGTGGGGTCGGGCGACCGCTCAGGTGGGCTCCGGACCTTCTCCTTTGCTCGTTTTACTTCCTTGGTACCTGCATTCACTTATTTTCATATACAAGTGGAACCATATTATTTAAAAATAAAATACTACTATGAAGTTGATTTCACCTTCACTTTACCGATATGTTGATGATCAGATTAAACATTTAGTGACCATCAACAAAGAATTCATGAACTCTGTCTTGTAGATGCAAAATAAGTATATATAGAGGAGAGTCATCCTCCCACATGGGAGAGGAAGCTGGAAGCATGATCTCAACTTGGTGTCAAAGTGAAAAAACGTAATGTGACATCCTCTTTCATCCTAGGGTCGACCCACTTAGATGAGTGGGCTGATTGGCCCAAGGTGTTCTTTCCCTAGATGGTACTCATTTTTTCTCATTCTTGCTCCTTGGATCATCCTAAGTCCAAGTCATCCATAGTTCACGTATCCAAAAGCAGCCTTTTTCCCTCATTTTTCTACAAATAGTAACATGCACAGAAACACAAGGCATACTCCAATATGAGTTCAATGTTAGTTTCCAAGATGCACATATGCTAAGAGTATACTACATGAATTTGCCAATAAAATCAGTAATAAACACATGTGTGAGCGCCAACACTAACTCTTGTTGTAGCCTATTTGTTGTTACTTTATGAATCACACCATCCAAAATTCGAGTTTATCTGATGCAATTTGATTTAGAAAAAGTTTTCCTATAGATTTTAGGTTAAATCACAACAATTATTGTGCACTTGTACCTATCATTTAGATGTCTTACCACAATGGCATAAAAACTCTGACTGCTGATGACGAGATTAAGGAGGATGAGGTTGAATCACAAGATAATTGAAACAGATGTAATATTGGTGCTCTTTGGTCTATTAAGCAGTAGAATGTAACTAAGTACTCTAAGACTCAGTAGGTCTAGCACTAGTCTTTTCACGAAGGTCGGTTAATTAATGTTAGATTTATTGTTTAGTTTTTCTCTGGGTGTCATGTCTTAGGTATATGAGGAATAGAAATTGGGCGGAATTAGATTATTTGTATTAAGCCTCTCTAGCGTTATATATAGAGTTCACATGACTTGAGGGTCAAGCTGATATATGGAATCATAATCCTAATAACTAACTCTATCCTAGTCATAATATACAGTCTACCATTCACTGTTTTGTGATGTATGCTGGTCTTTTTGGTTGGTAAATGGAAATATATAATGATATTATCTGAAATATATAACATAGTTCTTATCATTGAGTTCTAATAATCCCTCCATTATAAACTATAAGATGTTTTAACTTTTTTTGGATATACTACTTTTACTATGTATCTAGACATAGTTTATATCTAAATGCATAACAAAAGTCATCATGTATCTTGAAAAGTCAAAACGTCTTATAATTTGGAACGAAGAGAGTACAATTTGACATGGATTTTTTCTGCTACTTGTCTATGACTAATTAAAGAAGACATCTTTCACCGTTACTAGACTATTGGGATTGGAATAATATGTTTGTTTGTTTTTGTAGAGAATCT